CACCTTCATTCCTTATGAAAACACATTTCAACAAAACGTGGAAATCTTCGACAACGCCATTTACCGTCATTTTTAAAGCTGCTACCCATGGCCACAATTCACGGCAAGAGACAATGGTCTTGAAAAGAACCTGGGAGTGTCAAGAAATCAGCGGCCGCAATGTGAAGCCCCATAGGAGTTTCACTTTCAACTTAATTTCCATTTCATTTTCCAGTACTGGGGCTAACGTCCCTATAGTCCCTGTTTTATCCCTATGTAACCCCCACATAACCAACCCTAAACTCCCAAGCCCCTAAAACTCTAAAACCCTAATCCCTAAATCCTAAACGCTAAACCCTAAACCCCAAACCCTAAGCCCTAATCTCAAAACCCAAACCCCCCAGCGGAGGCTATTGTGGCTGCAGTTGGGTTGTCAAACTGGTGGCTCCGATTGGCTGCTACCGAGCTTCTGCAGCCCTTGCTTGAGGCAGCAGGCCCAGAGGCGCTGACCCGATTGTAGGGTTTAGGGTTCAGGGTTTAGGGTTTAGGACTTAGGGTTTAGGACGGAAGGCTAAGGATTTAGGATTTATAGGATTTAGGCAAATTTCTTGTTGTTTAGAGTCTAGGTTTTAGGATTTAGGTGTAGGGTTTAGGATTTAGGGTTCAGGATCTAGATTCCGTATTTTTAAGTCCTAAGCCCTAAATCCTGAGTCCTCAGGCCTGAATAATTAGTCAGTGCCCGTGTTATATTAGGAATACCAGAATTTTGATACCTGCTAAATCCTTCTAGAACCCTACACCCTAGACCAAAAAGAATGTATCTTACATCAAGTCATTCTCAGGGCCGTAGACTCGCCAGGTTGCCCTTAGTGTTCAAGCAAACGAGCTGTAGCCTGACTGGGGGCCACCAAGCTGCTTTTCCTGAGCCCTAAACCCTCAACCCTAGGGGTAGGTCTGAATCTGAACATGCTTTTGTATTTTTACTACCCTCAATCCCCTTTGGAATCCTTATGCAGCCATAACACCTTAATTTTTTGTAGGGCCCCCAAATCTACCCTGGCAAACCTTAGGGGCACTCTGCATGGGGTGTACGAGGAAAACATGAGGTCTCTTGGAAATGCTTCGATCCAGGGAGTATCTCGCTTGCTCGGTGAGGAGGGTCTATTCCAGAATGGTCCATTCACAATTGTTTTGCCTTGTGTTGGTTCTGCATGTGATCGAGGTACTTGCTCAACTTATCCTTCCGCCGGGCGTGTTAGTGAGATATGGTAGAGTAACGTAGAGTAGACAGATTTGTCCCAGTTATCTGTTAGCTGGGAACCTGTTGTACATTGTATGTCACTGGATCGCCGCAGGTTTGTGTTTTTAACTCCATACACGCAACCTGTCTCCTGTTGTTGGAAGCTGGGAAGGATTTACGGTACCTGGGCCCAGGGGACCTGAATTCAGTAACATGAAGGAGCCTGAAATCATACCTGGAATCGTAGCATCATTCAGGTCAAATCCCTGATGATGGTGTTTTTGGCTCTGTAAATGGCTTGCTGTAGAGGTATGCTCACCTAGCCTCCTAGGGTGGCAGGTACGGATCTCCGAATGCCAAGCACTTTCCAAAAGCCCTGCCATTAATCCACTAATGCGTTCATGAGAAACCTCATGTAGTTAGCTGATGGCGTGCGGCATAATCCATTGTATTCGTATAAACCGGAACGTTGCCCATCTTATGATGCGACCCTTTACCTCTAAGATCTGCAAGCACTGCACGTCATTTCGGATCTCAGCCCTCCCACCTTTCAAAAGGAAGGCCGAAACCCTAAGTTCCCGGTTCGTACAGAATAAGGGAATAGATAGATTATATGGGGTTATATTCCATTATTCACTGCTAACTACCAGGAAGTAAACTGTAAGTCTTGGAGTAGGTGCGCCTGGCAGCAGTCGATGCAGTGGAGGAGCTTGGCGACAGCATGGACGTGAAGGCTGCGTGTCCACTTTGACTGTGATCTCCTCCCCCTCATATGAAACACCTCAACCTCCCTAATGTCGAATATTCCCAGCATTTTTTTCTTGTCCCACAATGGGAGTAGTCAATATTAGGGCTTCATTCCCTACTAGCCTCACCGGTAAGTATAAAGGGATTAGTGCCGCGGGTCCAGCACTGAACTGTAGGCCCGCGGCATGTGACAGACCATTGGGCTCCTGAGGCAGAATGGACGACAAGGCCTTGTTGAAGGTTCTGAACTCTCTCATTAGCATTTGGTATGCAAAGGTTTCATGGTTTAAGCAACCCTCAACCCTAAACCCCAAACCCTCAACCCTAAACCCTAAACCCTTTAGGGTTCTGCGTTTCTGCGTTTCACGCTTGAACTCTGCGAGGTTGCCGGCGCGCTAGCAGCCCGGATCGAGGACGTTTGAGGTTGTAAGCCCCCCAAAACTGGGGGGTTATGTTGGGGATATATAGGGAATTATAGGGATAAAGGAAAACAAAATGGAAACGGTTATTATAGGGTTTCGGGTCAATGCTACAGAATCTTTATACTTTTTGGGGTATGGGATTCCTTCGATTTACGTATAAAGGATCCTTCTTTCTTCTTGCGGTAATGTGGGCTAAGAAAAGATTCTTGCCCAAATTGAAGTGCTTAGGTGATCTTGGGGGCTTGCACATGGGGCCCCATCATAACACTTCCGAAAGAACAGTGCTCTGTGTGGGGCTTGTTTTCATTTGGGAGCGCGTGGGCCGTGGAACGCTTCACTCTCAAGCCGTTGTGAGAAGAGTTAGGAAACAGTAGCCTTACAAGAAGCTTCTGTGGTCACGCTTGGCTTCTTGAGAAAACATCCTGAGTTGCTCCTTCCCTGACCGCTTGAGGGTCGGGAGATTTGTACATACTGCAAGGGCAGGCGGTGCCCTAGCGTTCAAAGTCTTGCGCAAAAAAGGGCCTTATCCCCAAGCCTCAAACCCTTGAACTCTGAATCCTCCCGAAAGAAATTGAGGAAGATAGATTAAATGCTGCTTCGATCCCCTTGTCTCACCGCAAGGTTCTATCAAACAGCAGCAAGAGAAGCCAAGCGGATGATATCCCAGCGGTTCTTGATCTCTTTCAGCCCATTTATTTGGAACTCTGGCCTTCACACCCGCAATCCAAAACCCTACAGTAAATACTGGATCCCTACGCCTTAAACCCCAAGCCCCAAATCCCTTGTCGGGAGGGAGAAAAAATCACAAAATTCCAAAATTCTAAATCCATCTGACTCAGAGCTTCGCAGGATGTAGATGCTTCTGTAGCAGATGCTGCCTTCAAGCTCATGGAGGCCAGGTCGCCCTGACACAGACAGGCTAAGGGTTTAGGGTTTCGGACTTTTGGATTGAGGGTTTAAGGTTGAGGGTTTAGGATTTAGGGTTCTGGGCTTAGCTTTTAGGGTTTTGGACTTTTGGATTTAGGGTTTAAGGTTGAGGGTTTAGGATTTCGGGTTTTGGGCTTAGGTTTTAGGGTTGGGGCCTGAGGCCAGTGTTTTGTCATGTGCTTACCTAGCAGAGAGACCATGAGCTCAATAAACCCTAGACCCTAAAACCCACAGCCCCAAACCCAAAACTGCCTAAACCCTAAACCCTAAACCCCTAAACCCTACGCCCCTCAACCCTAAACTGTGTTGTCAGTGTGAATCAGCAGCGAAGGCACGCCTCGCGGATCCAAGCGCTGATGTTTCTTGGAGGGATAGGGGAAGGACGGGGAAGGCTCAAGGGGACTAAGACTTAGGGTGTTTGTATTAGGGCTATAATGGAAAAGAAAATGGAAACTACAGGGGTTATAGGGGTTATACAGGGGTCATATAGAGGTTATATTGGTTTAGAGGAAGGCTCCGCGAACTTCTTGTTCGGATACAATCAAAAGTACACAAGACCCGCTGCAAAAAAAGGGGAAATGAAAAAGAAGATGCAAACGTTTCGGGTTTAGAATTTAGTGCTTGTCCGTGACAAAGTCATCAAAGGCCCAGGTAGCTGATCCTGGTGCAGAGTCTGGGTTCAAAAAAAGGGTTTTAGGGTTTATAGTCCCTTCAATATGTAGATAGAATATGGTATATTATAATAAGGTCCCCATATTCCCCATATTCTATCCACTTGAGGGGGACTATACCCTAAACCCTAAACCCCAATCCCCATATGCCCCTTGTTCTATCTACTCTCCCCATGTGCCCCTTATTCTATCTACTTAAGGGGGATTATACCTTAGACCCTAAACTCTAGTCCCCATATACCCCATATGCTATCCACTTAAGTGGGACTATAGGACTTCAGGGTGTTGTCAATCAGCTCAGAGAGCGGTTGCCTTGGCGATTCCTAGCAGACGCCACACAGGCTGGGTGCAAAAGAGGTTTAGGGTTTAGGGTTTAGGGTTTAGGGTTTGGGGGAGATGTGGGGGTTTCCCAAAATTAGGGGTACCTTCTTGGGGGTCCCCAGAAAAAGGATTATAGTATATTGGGGTCTAAATATAGGGGTTATGAATTGAAAAGAACGTGGAAACTACTACATAGGGTTTAGGGTTTAAACCCCCCCGCAATATTGAGTACTTTCAACATGTTGCACAAAATATACAGCAAGGGCATATTTGATATCAGGAGTCTGGGAGTTCTCATATTAGGGGGAGGGGATGAAGTATTTTCTAAGTTAGCAGAGGGTTCAGAACAGAGGTACCAGAACTTGCTGGGCTGAGGTAAGGCGGATTGCAGTGGAGTCCCTGGCTGTGCACGCCGCGTCCTGTCCGAAGGTTCCGGGCTTATTGAAGTTGAGTGCAGTCATCGTATGCCCTAGTGTTTGGGGTTAAGGGTTTAGGGATCGATAGGGATGTATTGGGGGCTATACAGGGGTGATATAGGGATAACGGAAAAGGAAATGGAAACGACTTCATAACACATTGGGGTCATATAGTGTTTCATTTAGTTTTCCATTTTCCATTTGATTGTCCAGTGTTGCGACACCAATATCAGGGGTTATGTGGGAGTAATAGTGGAGATGAAACTGGAAACTACTACCTATGATAGGCGCCCTTTCCAAACAACCCTGTCTGACGATCAAGCAAATTCGATTCCCGGGCAGCCACACGGTGTAGCATGCATGCATGCTTCGCGCATGAACCCCAATGCCTCGACGAAAAAACTATACTCGTTGCATGACTCTGCCTGGGTCACTTCCAACCTTCTGCAGAAGAAATCTGTCCCTTTCCACTTAGCTTGTTCCCACTGGGCCCAAATCCGGCATCCACTGCATGCCCCGCCCCCCTTTCCCTGCTTTCTCCACTTGTGGAGCCAGAAGCTTTGAAGGAAGAAGTTTTCTGATGGTTGTGCCTCGCGCAGCGTACCTTTTCCACATCCTGCACTTTTGCTTGGCACAGGTTTGGTGCTGTTGTCCGGCCTGCGGGACCATGTGAAACCATCACGAACACTGCCACTCTGTTCTGCCTGAGCCTGTCCGAGCTCTGCGGCTGAGCAGTTCTGGTCTGGTCCTGTGGATGGGCTCCCTCAGAAGGAAGCAGGACGTGCCGCCAATCTAATAGATTTCCGCGGGTTTGTGCGCAGTGCCAGTGAAGTTGGAGCCAACGATACGCTTGCAGCACTTGGCTGCTTCACAAGCTCTCAAAAGAAAACGAGAGTTGTTCGATCCGTAAGTTTGTGGGAGATCCGTATAACAAGTTCTTTTCGTGAAGGTCGCCGGGCTTACCCCTAAAGGTACACCCCCGACGCAGCGCGACTAGGGCGCAGGCAGCGATTTGAGGTTGTGCCTGTCTCGACCTATAGAGAGCACCTGAACAAAGTGGCAGCTCGCATTACACCCTGTAGCAGAAGTAAAACTTGAAAAATTGTAATGGTCATGGTACTAATGGTGCTGATGGCCATCTTGTCTGTTTGGGCTGCCCCAGCATGAGTTTTCATGTTTTCGATGCCCTACATGAACGGTATAGCCTCAAGCTTCAACCTACATGCGCCCCATGAATCTAGTTCACGTTCTTCCTAAGCCGACACAACTTGTCACTCCCCGAGGTACGGAAGCTGCAATCAAGCTGTGACAGCGTCCATGTTTTATGTTTTTTCTGTCTTTTGCTTTCTTCGGAGAGGCCCTTGCTGCTGTCCTTGACAAGCTCAGAGACAGCAACTGGCTTGTCGCTGGGTAGAATTCGGCTTAGCGCCATGGTCCCCAGCCGTCTGGGTTGCTGTTAAGCAACTTCATTCAAGTTACCATCTTAATGGGTATGTAGTAAACAATGGGTTTCCTTATTATAGTAATTGTAAACGCTAGCGCGCGCCCGCCTCGGCTGGCGGGGCTTCCCACTGTAGGAGCATGTAATTATGGATATACAGGTATTTAAGTTAGGTATATAGGTACAGTCATATGCCTATTACATACA